TTTGAGACAGAGTTTTGCTCTTGTTGCCCAGGCTGGTGTGCATTGATGTGATCTTAGCTCACTGCAACCTCTACATGCCGGGTTCAAGTGATTCTCTTGCCTCAGCCTCCCGTGTAGCTGGGATTACAAGTGTGCACCACTATGCCCAGATAATTTTTGTATTTTGAGTAGAGATGGAGTTTCACCACATTGGCCAGGCTGGTCTCCAACTCCTGATCTCAAGTGATCCACTCACCTTGCTAATTTTTAAATAGTTTGGTAGAGATGGAGTCTGAGTGTATTGCCTAAGGTGATCTCAAACTCCTGGCTTCAAGGGATCCTCCTGCTTGGTCTGCCAAAATGCTGAGGTTATAGGCGTGAGCCAGGGTACTTGGCTCCAGGGTCTACTTTGTTAAAAAGCAAATTAACATGGAGTCTAGTTACATTAATTCTTGAGGTGTCACTCATATACTAGAGATTGCAGAAAGGGAGAGTGAGAAAGAAGGTAGATGTCATTTCCTCTAGTCTTTATTGCTGATACTATATTTGCTTGAGGACGTGGCCGTTTGAGCAGCAAAAGAATAATCTCTCAGCAGTAGTGATTGTCCTACTCACTGATGTGTAACATGGGACAGAAAGAAAGAATATCTGATAATATCAACCACTTATTATTCCAGAGCTGTCTCAGCTGGCAAGGTAGTTTTTTTAATTTTTGAGGCAAGGTTTCACTGTCACCCTGGCTGGAGTGCATTAGTGTGTTCTCAGCTCATTGCTACCTCTGCCTCCCGGGCTCAAGTGATCCTCCTGCCGCAGCCCACTAAAGACCTGGGACTGTAGGCACATTCTACCACACTTGGTTAATTTTTGTACTTTTTATAGTGATAGGGTTTTGCTCTATTGCCTAGGCTGATCTTGAACTTCTGGATGCAAGCAGTCCGCCCACCTCAGCCTCTCAAAGTGCTGGGATTGCTGGCGAGAGCCACTGTGCCTGCCTGGCAAGGAAATTTTATATCAACTTCTAAAATACATCTCTTTTTCTCATTCTTTCTTTAGGTGGCTCTGGTAGGCGAGGAGGAAGGTTTTCTGCTCAAGGAATGGGGTAAGTTTCATTGATTAGTGTCTTAATTTTTTTTCCCTTAAAAATTACTGTAGGAAAAAAAAAATTACTGTAGGCAGCCTTAACCAAAATGATCAGAATGATTTCTAGACTATATAGTCAGAAAGATGTGGGGACTTAGGGCTCATTTCTTAGGGGTAAACATTTACCACCTGGATCATTACCTGTATCATATATATCTTTATTTGAATCAATATACCTGCTCTTTTCTCAGAATATCTTAGATATAAGTCGATTATGCCATGAAATTTTGGGTAGAGTGATAAGTGAGAAAAAGTAGATAACACACAGGAATGGGGCCATGATAGAGCCGTACTAGGAAGGATACAGACAAGATTTTGATTCTTTGAGTTAATATTTGCCTAAGCTGCTTAGAGGTCAGAGACTCTTTTAAGCTTTATTTTTTTCCAGAACCTTTAACCCAGCTGATTATGCAGAGCCAGCCAATACTGATGATAACTATGGCAATAGTAGCGGCAATACGTGGAACAACACTGGCCACTTTGAACCAGATGATGGGACGAGTGAGTGACCATTTGTCCTTCATTTCTTGTCTCTGGGAATCTAAGGAAATATTTTTTTCTGGTTATGGTTACGGTAAAACATGGAAGAATAGTGTTTGGTTATGGAGATAGGGTGAGAAAAGACTAGCAATTGTATTGCTATATATACTCTTGATATACCGTGTGCCTTTTTGCACATTGTGCATGCTATTTCAATTAATGCTGCTCAATATTGTGTGAAATAATCGTTATTTATCATCACTTTGCAGATGACAAAACAAAGACCAAAAGAGAGGTCATAAATTTGCTCGTATTTGAATTTAGCATTGTTTGACACTGAAAGTCCGTGCTCTTTCAATTATACTATGTCACTGCTGTTAGGTCGAAGTGTATTTTCTAGTGTTTATGTTAGGGTAGCTTTGCCTCGTGAAAAGATAGCCAGCATTCATTAAGCCACTGCTCGTAAAGATGAACAGGACCCAGAATCAAAGTCCATACTATCCATTTATTTGTTTTCTGTTACCCAGATAAGAATATCCTTTTTTCCCTTTATTTTTGGGACATGTCAGTATCTGAACAAGATGATTTTGAAATCTCTCTAGCCTTTTTGTGCCCTGTGGAAGAGCCTTCTTGGTGTGATGGAGTATTCAGGATTTGAATAAGATTACTTTTTGTTGACTGACTTTGGTGCCTTTGTCTGGGCTGGATATAAATATTTAAAGATAATGTAAGCTGTGGTGTACACCTAAGATGTGTTTTGGGGTGGATACATGTGCCATTTTTAATAAGAGCAGTTTATTTTTTGAGATGGAGTCTCACTCTGTCGCCAGGTTGGAGTGTAGTGGCATGATCTAGGCTCACAGCAACCTCTGCCTCCTGGGCTAAAGTGATTCTCCTGCTTCAGCCTCCCAAATAGCTGGACTACACGTGTGTACCACCACACCCAGCCAATTTTTTGTATTTTTAATAGAGACAGCGTTTCACCATGTTGACCAGGATGATCTCTATCTCTTGACCTCATGATCGCCCGCCTTGGCCTCCCACAGTGCTGGGATGTGAGCCACCCCACCCTGCCAAGCAGTTCATTTTAATAAGAAAACTCTGAAGTATTCTTCTTGAGAACAGCTACCTCATTCTGGCTGAGCTAGCACATTAGAGCCTAAGGCTTTTTTTCCTATGACAAAGGGGGATGAGTGGAGCCTGAAATAGGCTCTTTGACTCCTTACCTGTTTAAATTTGCCTTGTCATCTTTCACAGATATGTGATCTCTGGGTCTTTAGGAGAGTCTTTGGCACAAATAGCTTCTCACCTTTTTCCTGCAATATATAATTCCTGAGATTCTGAATGTTGCCTGCTTTTTGTTCACCAAGCTGCCGTCTTATAAATTCATTTTTACACATTTAATGGGTGGAGGCTGAAGTTGAGTTACAAGAATAGGTATCTTTGAATTTCTGCATTGTTTATTTATGAAATGTCCTGTTACAGTTTAACTACTATACTTTGGAGGCAATCGAACTACTCTTCATTAATCTCTTGATGGATTTGTAGAGGCAGTGGTAGCAGTCTCAATAACAAATAAGTTACTGTTCTTGAGCTTTAGTTTACCCCTGGGTATTTGGCTTTTTATATTTGGCGGATAAGATGATGGAAGTTAAAAAGTTTGTTTTTTGTTGTGAATAGAAATTCACCCATGGGGTCCCAGTCCTTAACTTTGGCTGTCTTCAGTAAGAATCTGGTTGGGAAACAGGGAAAGGTAAAGTGTGTGTGTTAATTTCTACTGAGTAGGAAAGGGAGCAAATTTGGAAGGCCGCAACTAGAAATCTGATTTGTGGCTGAATGTGATGCCACTATCATCTTGTTAGTGTGAAAGTGTTGGTTATAGCTTCATGAATTCCCATTGTTGTTAATTTGTTTCTTTTTTATTTATTATTATTATTATGTTTGAGACAGAGTCTTGCTTTGTCACCCATGCTGGCATTCAGTGGTGCGATCTTGGCTCACTGCATCCTTCCGCCTCCCAAGTTCAAGCTCTTCTCATGTCTCAGCCTCCCAGGTAGCTGGGGCTACAGGTGCACGCCACCACACATGGCTAATTTTTGTAATTTTAGTAGAGATGGGGCTTCAACGTGTTGCCCAGGCTGGTCTCAAACTCCTGGCCTTAATTGATATACCTGCCTTGGTGTCCCAAAGTGCTGGGATTACAGATGTTAGCCACCATGCCTGGCTGTTGTTAGTTTCATGATGTGAACATACCTTCATGCATGGTCTCTTTTTATGTTTTCCTGATAGCAAACTTCAAATTCCCCTTTAAATCAAAAAAATAAATCCAAACTTACCCTTACAGTATCCACAGGTACAATGGGAGTTATGTATTGGGGCAGACATTCTCATTTACAAGCCAAATTTCACTGGTTGTTTTTTCTTTTCTTGTCTTTTTTGTTTCAGGACTTGATTTCATTGGGGTTGAGGGGTCAAATTATCCCCGAAAATTTCAGACTGCTCCTGGTATGATACATCCAGGCGCCTAACTGCCCCGGATATTTTTGTAGATTTTTATGAGCTGAAATATCTGTGGATATGTCATTTTTCTATCTTTCTGCTTTTTCTCTTTCTGCCTTTTTCTCTCATGTTTTCAGTGTCCACTTTTCTGTTTATTTAATGAATATCTGACAGTTACATTGATTGCTTTCTGCTAATGGAATGGAAACCCTAGTCTGTTGTTTAGAGCATTTCCTTCTTACTGTTCCTTAATGCTTCCTCAAATCTCTCTTCCTCAGTCATGACCATATACCCAAATAGGAACATATCAGTTAGGTATCTACGTTCCTCCTTTCCATCCCAGTTGAAGTCATCAGTGTGCAAAAAAAAAAAAATTCTTGCATTGAGAGCCTAGATTAGATAACCTGTTAGATCACATTTAACTCTAGGATTGTATGTAAGTGCTAACTCATCTTAGATTCCATTGAGCCAAAATAAGATGGATGTCAGTGAGAAGAAAGTGTGGTATCAATGAAGAGGGAGAAAAGAATGTGGCTTGTGACTTGTCTGTACTGAGATTGAACTTTGGTTTGGAGAATATTGTCATTATTAAGTGATTTGGGATTTCCCTGGTACAATTTTAACATTTTCCTGGGAAAGTCTTTACAATGAATATATTTTCCTCTAGGAAGTAAGATTTTTTTCATTATTAAATGTTTAGAAGAATTTCAGATGGGTTTTATAGGTGTTAGAATACTTCTTTTCAGTGACGCAGTATCTGAATGTCAGACTTTTCATTTCATTCTTGTGAGCTTTTTCCAGCAGGAGAGAAGACTTGAAGAGTTATATAATATATATTCTAGCAAGAAAATAAGGGTGTTCTTGTCCCTTCTTCAGACAGGTTCTTGTTTTTACTATGCCTTTGGCTGAAGGGAAGAATCCTGGTTCTCAAAGACATTTTCATCCCTATTAGGAAGGTTGTTTGTTTGCTTTTGGATTTCTCCAGTAGAAACTGTATATCCCAGCTTCAATATTACCAGCAAACACAAGGAGAGTGTATACTCCCATTGTCTGTGCCATGACCTTAGCAAGTCAGATTTTAAGTTCTGTATGAGTAGGGTTAGGACAGTAATTAAAATCCATATTTGATTTTTCAATCTTGTTTATTGTGTTTTGAAGAGAACAGATCTATAGGGGCTTTTCTTTTCTTTTCATTTCCCTGAGATGGAGTCTTGCTCTGTGGCCCAGGCTGGAGTGCAGTGGCATGATCTCAGTTCACTGCAACCTCCACCTCCCAAGTTTAGGCGATTCTCCTGCCTTAAGCGTCCTGAGTAGCTGGGATTACAGGCATGTGCCATCACGCCTGGCTAATTTGTATTTTTAGTAGAGACGAGGTTTCATCATGTTGGCCAGGCTGGTCTTGAACTCCTGACCTCAGGTGATCTGCCTGCCTCAGCCTTCCAAAGTGCTGGGATTACAGGTGTGAACCACTACACCTGGCTGGGGCTTTTCTTATAGTTATGTAGTTAAACCAATAAGATCTATAAACTTGACTTCTGCTGAATATATGCATTTTTAATCCAGTTCTCATAGCAGATAGTTTTCACTGCCCTCAGTTTGGGTTTCAAACCCGTCCTTCTTCACTGCTCCTTCACTAACCATTATGTGGTAACCATTTGTGTTTCTCTATCAGTGCTACTATCCTTCTTCAGACTGCCTGCAGTTTTCTTTTTGTCTTATACTAGATAAATAGGTATAGTTTGCATGTTATGGTTTAAATTAGCTGCTGCCATTTCACTGAACCACTAAATCAGGCCTGCGGGTGTTAAAGATACTGCTTGGGGCTTTGAGTTGTTGTTGTCTCCCCCGACCCCCATCCCTGCTCTGTAACAAAAACTGGAAGTAGCTATGAAATCATAATCTTATTAAAACCCTGGTACTCTCAGGTATCCCTTTCTAAAGAGTCTTTCCCTACCTCTAAAGCCCAAGAATTTCTTTTGATTGCTAAATTTTAGTCACACTTTTGGCTGCCAAAAAAATTAATAAAATAATGTTTTCTTCACAATGCTTTGTACTGGCATTTAATAGGTTATGTCACTATTTTTCTTTATTCTCAGGTGCATGGAGGACTGCAACAGAGGAATGGGGGACTGAAGATTGGAATGAAGATGTAGGTATTCCCAGGTCATTCCTCACTAATGCCTTCTATCCCTAAGTGGTGTTTAGGGATAGAAAATGGGTATGTTTCTGCCCTTCAAAATTCACCCTTAAGATTCTGACCCAAAACTTTTACATCCAAAATAGTGTTCTGAGCCAGAACATTTCACATATGTTATATGAAGGAGACTGGGCATGAACAGGACTCTGGAACCACACTATGGAAAGGGCAAGTGCACTTGTGTAAGTCCAATATCTGATTGTCGGATTTATTCCAGGAAGAGATTGGTGGTTGGGTAGGGCACGAGAAATGGAGTTAGGCAGGTAGTGCATTGAGTAACAGCTGCTGGTGGTACATGACTACTTGGAGCATTTAAGTATTTGCTATAAGGTCCTGTAATGGATTGGCAGTGGATACAAAGTGAGTGTTGTGGTACCAAATCCTCAAACTTGTAGTCTGGTTGACTCGGGAACCCTTTTATTTATTTGAAGTCCAACTGTATAATTGTAATTGAGATGAATATGTGTAGACTTGGCTATCTGCCACCTTGACTCAACTTGGAAACCTCATAGATGGGTGGCACGTAAACAAGCTGTGTGAATTCATTTGAGTACTACCTGAGTGTAAGAATTTTGCTGATTCCTGGTCACAGTCAAGCTTTTCCTTTGAATTATGGTTTTCAGTGATCATGGATAAACCCTTGTTTTTACGTTTTTAATCTATGTACTTTTCTATACTTTCATGTAGTCAGGCAAGACAGCTTTTGCGATAAGAGGAATGACATGTGAAGACTTTTGATTGCCAATTCTGGGTTTTTAAAATTTCAGAGGCATCAGCATCATAGGGTGATTATTTTCTGTTGTATCATCAATGAACTAGCCTGCTTTGTGAAAATGGGCAAATTATGCTCCTTGCTGAGATTTGGCTTGTCTGCTTAAGCAACTTTGAGAGAATGATACATGGTGTTGGATGTTGAGTGGGGAGTGGATTCTCTGTTTTTTAGCGATTTTAATCAAGAAATAAAAACAAAACCCAAATCAACTTTTAATAGTAGGAAAAGTTAATCCCTGCATTTGCTTACCTAGGTTTGATGCCTTAATAGTGGAAAGACTAGATGACATAAAGTCAATATTAAGGCAAAAATGGCATCTAGTTAAAATTATCTCTGAAAAAACCTTATTTCACCTGCACTTGGGCCTTTACTGCTCAAAAGCCGAAAATGAACTTTTTTTTCTTTCTTTCTTCATCTTGGTTATGATCTTTCTTTGGGAGGGGTGGGGCTATGAAGGGAGTAGTAGAAGACAAGTGTGATTTGGGTAGAGGTGGGAGTTGGAACTACAATGGGAAAGTATAGAGGGATTTTCTTTTCTTTTTTTATATGTAGCGTGCCTGTAAGTTCAGCATGCATATGATCATGTGACTCCACTATATTTTATTGGGTTCCTTGGTTCTACTCTTTCTTTGGCTGAAACCATTGAGCATATGTTGAAGGGTTTGAAAGTCAATCCATTCAGGGTTCCTCAGGGTAGTTTTCTTTTTATAGGGCTTTCACTTTTTCTTGATGTTGGATTCCCCTTACCTATGCCAAATTTCTGACTGTAGCATCCCTGATACCCAGAGCGACTAATTACTCTGTTTTCCAGCTTTCTGAGACCAAGATCTTCACTGCCTCTAATGTGTCTTCAGTGCCTCTGCCTGCGGAGAATGTGACAATCACTGCTGGTCAGAGGCAAGTGTGCAGTAAAATTTAGTACCCTTTCTTNATCTGCTGAGATAACTGTGAGGATGAGAGGCATTGGCCTTTATAAATTCCCATGGTGTTGGTGATAATAACCAAATTACATTCCATTCCTCTTTAGTTGATTGAGAGACTTCTAAGACTTAGTGCTAGTTAATCTATTAAATGGAAGTTCATATGTTATAATTTTAAAGTTGATTCTCCCCCTAAATAGCGCTTTAATTACAAAGATCAGCCTTTCATATCACCAGCGCTGAGTATATAACTTGTTTTGAAATAAGTCAGGGAAAAAAGAACCAAAAGTGGAAATGTTTTTATTTCTGAATTTTTTTAGAACTGTTCAGTAGTTTCTTCTGTTCTCCGAGCCCACTGAGTAAAACGGTCATTTTTTTCCTTTGGATCAACAGGATTCAGTTAATAAATGTTTTAGAATTTGAATCTCTAGGGATCACTGGTAGGAGTTACACTCTTCGGGGAACATTTTTAATCCCCTAGAAACCTCTTGGATTTTTTCTAGACCAGTTTTGACATTAACTACCCAGAGTTAGTGCAGACCCCACAAGTTGAAGGCTTAGTTCCACAAGACTGCCCTGACTTCAGAGGTTCTGCCAGCCAGCTGCAAATTTGGAGGTTCCCATGACCCCCTTATCAAGTTTGAGAATTCACTGGAGTGACTCAGAACTCAAGAGTTTTACCTACTATTACTGTTTTTTTTTTTTCTTTGTTTTTGTTTTGTGAGATGGAGTCTTGCTCTGTCACCCAGGCTGGAGTGCAGTGGCATGGCCTTGGCTCACTGCAAACTCCACTTTGTGGGTTCAAGCCTTTCTTCTGCCTCAGCCTCCTGAGTAGCTGGGATTACAGGCATGCACGACCATGCCCAGCTTATTTTTGTATTTTTAGTAGAGGCAATGTTTCACCATGTTGGCCAGCCGGACCTCAGGTGATCCACCCACCTTGGCTTCCCAAAGTGCTAGGATTACAGGTGTGAGCCACTGCGCCTAGCGCATTACTGGTGTATCATAAAGGTACAACTCAGGAACAGCCTAGAGGAAGAAATGCATCGGGCAAGGTATAAATAGGCGTGTGAGTGGGGCACACAGAACTTGTCCTCTGCAGGTATCTTGAAGCTCTCCAAATCTCATTGTTAGAAATCTCATTACGTAGGCATGATTGATTAAATGATTAGCTGTTGGTGATTGGACTTATTAGCCACCTCGCCTACATCCCTGGAGTTTGGTGGGATTGGGAGGGGCTTCTGAAAGTTCCAACCCTCTTACCTGACCTTTCTTTTTCTGAGACAGAGACTCAGTCTGTTGCCCAGGCTAGAGTGCAGTGGCACAATCTTGGCTCACTGCAATGTCTGCCTCCCGTGTTTGAGCAATTCTGCCTCAGCCTCCTGAGTAGCTGGGATGATAGGCACCTGCCACCATGCTCAGCTGATTTTTGTATTTTTAGTAGAGATGGGGTTTTACCATGTTGGTCAGGCTGGTCTCGAACTCCTGACTTCAAGTGATCCACCTACCTCAGCCTTCCAAAGTGTTGGGATTACAGGTGTGAGCCACTGTGCCCAGCCTTATTTGGTCTTTGTAGTGAATAACCCTCATCCTGAAGCTTCTGGGGATCCACCTCATTAACATAAACTCAGGTACAGTTGAAAGAAGCTTGTTATGAGTAACAAAGGACACTATCACTTAGGAAATTCTAAATATTTTAGGAGCTTTGTGACAGAAACAAGGCAGAGCTCAAGTATACATTGTACCACAGGTAACTTAGGAAATTTTATGAAAATTGCGGGAAGAAATATCTCTCCCAAACTGTCCCTGTTCTAAAGCCATTTGAAGATTCCAGTGTTCTGGTATGTGATGGTCTTTTTTTTTTTTCTGAGATTGAGTTTTGCTCTTGTTGCCCAGGCTGCAGTGCAATGGTGCAATCTCAGCTCACTGCAACCACCGCTTCCTGGGTTCAAACCATTCTCCTGCCTCAGCCTCCCAAGTACTGGGATTACAGGAGTGTACCACCATGCCCAGCTAATTTTTGTATTTTTAGTAGAGACAAGGTTTCACCATGTTGGTCAGGCCGGTCTCCAACTACTTACTTCATGATTCGCCCACCTTGGCCTCCCAAAGTGCTGGGATTACAGGCATGAGCCACCGCGCCCAGCCTGGTATATGGTTTTCTATTTTAGGAATTAGTAATGACAGGGATTCAGTATTAAAATGATGGATAAGTACTTACAAATTTTGGCTAAGTTATTGAGCTTCAGTGTTAAAACTAGTATTTGATATTTCATAAATTAATGACTTCACTTTAAAATTAACCATTATTATTGGCCACATCAGTGGAATTCAGCTATATATTGTAGTGGCTCTTATGCATCAGTTATTTTGGGAAGTTAAGCATTTCAAGGCTTTGTGTTTGAGCCCTTTTAGAAGAAGCTCTATTAAGTGGCTTCATTTTGATCTAATCTGATTTGAGTATTGGGGAATGCTAGCATGTTCAGTCATTATTCATCAAGATCCCTTCCCTTCCCCAATAGAATTGACCTTGCTGTTCTGCTGGGGAAGACACCATCTACAATGGAGAATGATTCATCTAATCTGGATCCGTCTCAGGCTCCTTCTCTGGCCCAGCCTCTGGTGTTCAGCAATTCGAAGCAGACTGCCATATCACAGCCTGCTTCAGGGAACACATTTTCTCATCACAGTATGGTGAGTAGGAAACATGTTTTATCCTTATCAAACCTTCCTGCTAATCCTAGCACACATACACAGTTCCTTCCAAAGACAGTGAAGTTTTTGGTAGGTGAAGCATCCTCTTTGTCTTCTTAAGCAGACTTGGATGTAGAGATACTTGAGTTGGGTAATAGGGAATAGCTCTAAGAGAGGACTTAGTTCTGGACAGACTGGATATTCTTATATAAATAAGTTAACATCATTTACTGAATACTCATTGTATTGAATGAACACTGTTATTACTCTTGAGAGAAAGTCGATGACATAAACTTGTCAACACATTTTAATCCTTTTGCAACACTTATTAAACTGTGATGGGGGATTGTAGCAGTTCCCCATTTCTTGACGGGCAGAATTGTCTTATATATTTACTTAAACCAGACATTTGTAGACAAGGCTTCCAGAAACCTATGGTCTTCCCAGTTCTGCCACTTACTAGCTGTGTCTCCATTTCTCTGTAAATAGGGATGAAAGCGCTTGTCCTTCCTGTCTTCCCAAAGGTGGCTATACAAGTGTGGTTTCAGTAGCGGTATTATAAATAACTTAGAGCCTTTATGGCACAGTACTTGTTGACTCAGAGCATTTAAAAAAATCTGAGGTCATTAACTGCATCAAAGGAATCATTTAAACTAAACAAAGATGCTGCAAGTACCAGTTTTCTCCTAGTCAGTAAGTCCTAAGAAGTACTGCTTTTTTTTTTTCTTTTTCTTTCCTTTTATTTGATGGAGGGATATTAAAGTTGTAAGAGGTAAGCAGACCATGTGTTTACATATAATTTTATTTTTCCAGTTAGAGTAATTATTTTAACTAGAAAACTGCCAAGCTAGGTACTAATTCAGAACTCTGTCAGTTTTTAACTCTTAAAATGTTTTGTGTGTGTGTGTGTGTGTGTGTGTGTGTGTGTGTGTGTGTGTGTGTTAATTTAGTAGTAACTTGGTGGTCAATGTCCTGCCACATAGAAAAGGTAACAGGTAGGCCGGGCGCGGTGGCTCACGCCTGTAATCCCAGCACTTTGGGAGGCCGAGGCGGGTGGATCATGAGGTCAAGAGATCGAGACCATCCTGGTCAACATGGTGAAACCCCGTCTCTACTAAAAACTACAAAAAATTAGCTGGGCATGGTGGCGCGTGCCTGTAATCCCAGCTACTCAGGAGGCTGAGGCAGGAGAATTGCCTGAACCCAGGAGGTGGAGGTTGTGGTGAGCCGAGATCGCGCCGTTGCACTCCAGCCTGGGTAACAAGAGAGAAACTCCGTCTCAAAAAAAAAAAGAAAAGAAAAGGTAACAGGTGAGAAGAGGTGGGGGGAGAAGGGAAATGGAGAGGAGTATTGGAATTAAGTAGAAAAAGAAGAAAGAAAATAGGACAAAGGTTGTAAGAAAGTGTAATGAAGAGAAGTAACTACCAACCCTTAAGATAAATGACTGGAAAACGTGGTTATGTGATCTAAGTCTCTTAATTGCCCTTTTAATGTCTGGAAGTGTGAAAATTTATAACCAAATCAGACTTTTGATATCAAAAAGATGTTTTCAACTGAGGACAGTGGCACGTTTCTGTAGTCTCAGCTACTCTGGAGGCTGAAGGGGGAGGATTGCTTAAGACTAGGAATTCAAGACTACAGTGAGCCAAGAGCTCGCCATTGTACTCCATCCTGGGTGACAGAATGAAACCCTGTTTCTAAAAAAAATTTTTTTAGGCTGGTCATGGTGGCTCACACCTATAATCCCAGAAGTTTCAGAGGCCGGGGTGAGGGATTGCCTGACCATCCTGGGCAACACAATAAAACCCCATCTCTACTAAAAAAAAAAAAAAAATAAGAAAAATTAGCCAGGCGTGGTGGCATATGCCTGTAGTCCCAGGTACTCAGGAGGCTGAGGCAAGAGAATTGTTTGAACCCAGAAGGTGGAGGTTGCAGTGAGCCAAGATCGTACCACTGCACTCCAGCCTGGGCAACAGAGCGAGACTCCGTTAAAAAAAATTTTTTAAGTAAAAATATCAAAACTAAATATAAATACTGTTCTGTTTTTTCTGTTCTTTTTGCATTACCTGTACTAATTAATATGTGACGTAATGTAATTTCGTTTCCATTGAGAATAAATGTTAGAGGATTAATTTCCCTGAAAATTTAATAGAGCTAAATAACAAAGGAGTTCCTTTTTATGTATAACACAATGAACACTAGATAATTTTCACTGCTTTTATTTATTTATTTTATTTTATTTTGGGACGGAATTTCACTCTTGTTGTCAGGGCTGGAGTGCAGTGATGCGATCTTGGCTCACTACAACCTCCGCCTCCCGGGTTCAGGTGATTCTCCTGTCTCAGCCTCTTGAGTAGCTGAGATTACCAGCATGCGCCACCATGCCCATCTAATTCTGTATTTCTAGTAGAGATGAGGTTTCTCCATGTTGGTCAGGCTGGTCTTGAACTCCGAACCTCAGGTGATCCACCCACCTCAGCCTTCCAAAGTGCTGGCATGACAGGCATGGGCCACTGTGCCTACCCCATTGTTTTTTTAATATAATGCTTTGTATAATCTTGGGATATAGACTGAAGGGGAAAAAAAAAATTACCTTGAGTTGTACAAACTGTTTGTTTGAAATGGAGTCTTGCTCTGTTGCCCAGACTGGAGTGCAATGGTGTGGTCTCGGGCTTGCTGCAACCTCCACCTACTGGGTTCAAGCTATTCTGCCTCAGCTTCCTGAGTAGCTGTGACTACAGGCACGGGCCACCATACCCGGCTAATTTTTGTATTTTTAGCAGAGACAGGGTTTCACCATGTTGACCAGGCTGGTCTAGAACTCCGGACCTCTGGTGATCTGCCCATCTCTGCCTCCCAAAGTGCTGGAATTATAGGTGTGAGCCACTGTGCCCAGGCTATCATTTTTTTGTTTTTGTTTTTCTTTTTCGTTTATTTTTTTTTGAGACAATCTTACCTTGTCGCCCAGGCTGGAGTGCAGTGGCATGATCATGGCTTATTACACCCTCCGTTTCCCAGGCTGAAGTAATCTTCCTGCCTCAGCTTTCTGAGTAGCTGAGACTACTGGTGCCCACCACCATGCCTGGCTAGTTTTTGTATTTTTAGTATACAGGGTTTTGCCATATTGCCCAGGCTGGTCTTGAACTAGGCTCAAGCAATCTGCCTGCCTTGTGCTGGGATTACAGGCGTGAGCCACTGCACCCATTCTAGTTTTTTAAGAAAGGACTGTTTGTTGACGATGATGATGATGATAAAGTGATGAAGACTAGATTTAATCTCCTTGGAGGCTTTAAAAGACAAGTCAAGACTGATCTTCTGGACTAGGCTGATAGTTTTACTTAGTATCAGGGAATGACAGGAATCCCACAAAAGCATTAAGAGTAAATTTCCTTGGTTATCATGCAGTGGTTACCATATACAACTTTATTTTTGAGACGGAGTCTTGTTCTTGTCCAGGCTGGAGTGCAGTGACATAATCTTGGCTTACTGCAGCCTTTACCTCACGGGTTCAAGCAGTTCTCCTGCTTTGGCTTCCCTAGTAGCTGGGACTACTGGTGTACACCACCATGTCTGGCTAACTTTTGTATTTTTTTTGTAGAGACGGGGTTTCGTCATGTTGGCCAGGCTGATCTCGAGCTCCTGATCTCAGGTGATCTGCCCGTCTCAGCCTTCCATAGTGCTGCAATTATAGGCGTGAGCCACCACATCTGGCCCAGTGATTACGCTATAGAACTTGTATCTGCATGGAGAAAACAAATCATACTGGCTTGTTATTTGATTGTCTAGTGCAGAAGTTGGGATGCCCTTTAACTTTTCCTTCTTGCCTCTGTGGTAGTTATTAGCAGCATCGAGATGAGGCTCCAGTTAGTTGTTTTTGAGGTTTCCTTAATGAGAAGGGCAAGGACTTTAATGGCTAAAGTAAAATATTATATTACATTTATGTTCATTGTATTGGTTGATTTAAAAATTCTCCAGTCGCGGCCAGGTGTGGTGTCTCACGCCTGTAATCCAAGCACTTTGGAGGCCAAGGGGGGTGGATCACCTGAGGTTTGGAGTTCAAGACCAGCTTGACCAACATGGTGAAACCCCGTCTCTACAAAAAAATACAAAAGAAAAATTCTCCAGTCGCAGAATTTTATCCCTGAGAAGCAGGGTGAAGGAAACAATGATGGTATAAAACTTACATAAAGTTTTAATGGCTCTTTTTTTTTTTTTTTTTT